TAAATCCAGGTTGGCAATCTTAAAAAGTTTCGTATTTACCGAGAGAGGTTTCCATTCGTTCGTACAAAATGTTTTCCTAATATTTTTGGATTCACATAAGAGCCAATAATTTTGAATTTCATTATGGTTCCCTTTTTTAAAATGCATATGGATTTATGTTTACTCTTTTGAAAATATGTGGAAATAATCCACGTATTAAACAAGCATTGGATTTGAAATGGGTATAATTAACAATCCGGAAATTCAACATTTTTAACGTTTGATATTGAGTATTGTGGTTTTAGTTCCTTCGAAAGGTCACTCGCAATTCTCGAAATATATTTATACAATTATTAGAGTTCGCGGACAGTTCTTCCTGAGCAACTGCCGTTATATTTAAAAGTAAAAAGTAAAGGTTGCTCTGGAGTGTCGGTACGTCACTGAATATCCGATCCTTGACAATCTTATAGAGAAGTCAATTGCAAATTTAGCTACACTTATTGTACTATTAAAGCAATAGAATGAAATTACACATCAGTCAGGTTTCAAATTGTCATCTGCGGGAAAAATTAAACGTTTTGAATCGAAAAGGTCTTAATTTTGTAATCATGTTTACTTGAGAGTGCATAACTTTATGGGCCGGTTTCACCAACAGGAATCAAGATGATGATTCCGAGTTGATCCGGATCAACTTCAGTTTGATCCCGTTGTACGTTTCTCCACACACTTGACACGAATCAACGTGTCTGACACGGATCAAATTTGACTTGCAATTGATCCGTCGCCGAGCGGTGGATCACGGCCAGATCAGGAGTTATTTCTCGGCTTGGTCGTCTAGCTATTCCAGTTTTCCGTATTTTTTAAGTAAATATCTGTAGTTGGACTTAGATTCAGTATGAAAGTATTCGCTAAGAAGTAGGATTACGCGTAATATTTGTTGAGCAAATGTGTTTTTTAAGATAGTATTGTAAATAAAAGTAGGGTTAACACAATTGAAGGTTAGAATTCTCGGTATTGGGAAGTAAAATTTAAATATATTTTGGCTTCAAATTAGTGTGATTATAAGTATCATTAGTAAAAAAAGTATTTTGTGATATCTGTATTGCAATTGGCGTAGGACAGTTTTATTGAATACTTTTTTTAGTGTAGTAATACTTTCAATTTTTGTTCTTCTTAGGGTAATTTGTGTCATAAAAATAGATTATGTTTTCGAATGTGACTCAATAAATATTATTATTATTATTATTAATGAAGTCATTGAAGATTTATTGTGGGGAGAGACACCACGAGTAATTCCAAAAGAAGCGATTATTTTGAAATGTCAGAACGAGCATTAACACTTTATTTGTATTTGCTCATTAAGCTTTCGAGTAATTCTCTTTCAACTGGAGAGAAATTGGGCGTTGCCTATGCATTATTTCCAACGTTAGGTGAATACATCACCGAACAAGAACACTACCGCACGGAACAGAACACCACACAGACGGGACGAAACGAAATCAAAACAACTTGTTTCCTACAGCTGACCGCGAGAATACCCACAACGCATTGCAAAATTGTTGCCAACCGCGCATTTTCACGACTGCTCACGATTCATGGGATTAACTTCGAAGTCTCAAAACGTTGGTGAAACGCACAGGGATCAAGTCGGCCTTGACTCCGCGGATAAGGATCACGAAACTTGGATCAACTACGAATTTGATCCAGGTAGGTGAAACCGGTCCTATATGATTAGGTTAAACGGGCAAAGGAGTAAAACGGTGAAAAGGGCTCTCCAATAATATGCGAGAATTGTTGATATAAAAAGCTATGTTTGTTTAATGCGCTGCAGTTTCCTTCATCCAATTGAGATAAAACTCAACCTATTGCTTGATTATGCGGGAAGAATATGGACATAGTACAACAGGAATATGCGTATATTTGATACATTGACGCAAAATATGGGCGTTCTTGATTTTATGAGTTTTTGCGGACTCAAACCCCCCTGAACAGAAGCTCTACGCAACCTGCCGCACCCTGAAATATTGAGGGGGACGTCGCTGCATATTCTACGATTTTGAAATGTCGGCCGGAATTATTACTTGAACGTTATCTGGGCGAAGTAAATCAATTTTTTCAAAGTCAGTGTTGTAGTCAATACAGTTCCAAACTTGAGGGAGAACATTTTAACAATAGAATACTTGGCAAACCAGAACATAAAACAAGCCCATATTTGCGAGAAAGTCTTTCAACTATTAAGAGGGTACCCCCGGATAAGATGGCTAATTTGCATTTTTTTTCAATCAGATAGAATAGTGTTAAATTGAAAAAAAAATTAAAAAGCAGGTTTTTGACTGTAGATGGGAGTGGGTAGTGGGGCAGGAGCTAAGAAATCTTGCAAAAATATTATTTTAATGTTAGAGTTATAGTGAAACTACTTATATGTTATTTGGTTTACAGGAACTTTTCACTGTCTTATCCATTTATACTACTTTTGCAGAGCGCAGCGTAAAACGTGATTAACAATCATGAGACCACTAGCGTGTTAAGTGTAATAGATTGCAATAGCGAAGCATTGCCGAGTCTGCTAGTTATAATAATAATAATAATAATAATAATAATAATAATAATAATAATAATAATAATAATAATAATTGAGTCGCATATACAATTCCAATGGTGTATGACAAATCAAAATGATGTCTTGGGTGGAGAGAGCGAAGTTACATTACTGTTTAGGAGCAAACAAGGGGCCATCTCAGCATTTGCTTAAGGGGCCAGGGGAACTGAACAAAAAACCTGATCTAGATGGGGTCATTGGCCTAGAAATTATACTACAATACTTGTTACAGATAGATTAAGATATTATACATTAGTTAATTATTTTTAGTAGCAAATAATTTAACATGACAAGATTTGTACAGTTTCATGTGTAAAGTAAAAATAAAATTTGCTTGTTATTGTCATTTTACTGCTACTACTTATAATAATAATAATAATAATAATAATAATAATAATAANNTTAGCAACTACATAAAATTTAACAATATTAGTACATTCTATATTTAAAACTTGGAATGGTGAGGAGGAGTTTGACCAGATTTTTCCCCTTTTTTGTCTTTCAACTTGTACATGTAGTTCTACTGCAGTACCTAATGCGTCTAGCAAATCCAGAGTTTTGTGTGCGCATGCGCGTGTGTGTGACATGAAATGGGACAAGAAATTCTTATTATTTATATTTTTTTAAGGGAAATGTAATTTGAATACTCCTTTACACTGTAGAACATGTTGTTAAGCAGGAAAGCTTTCAATTTACTTTGATATGTATGAATTGTGTTTATGTCTTTAATATCACTGCCTAGTTTGTTGTACAGTGTAATGCACTCTATTAGGGTTTTTTTAAGTGTAGTTTCAGAGTGTGGAACATCTAGGTTATCCTTTTGACGGGTGTTTTAGTTGTGTACATCGGAATTTAAAGTAAAAGTGTCTTTCTATGAGAATTTTCTTTGTGAAGACACCTATTTCAAATATACGAGTATACATGCATGGTAGAGGAAGAATCCTTAATTTATCAAACAAGGGTTTGCAAGACTCCAGCTTATGAGTGCTGGTCATTGTTCGCAATGTTCTTTTTTAGATAATAAATGTGCGAGTGCTTTCAGGGGCATTTCCCCAGAATATTATTCCATATTTTAGGTGTGAGTGCACATTTGCAAAATACATTGTTCAAAGTGTCTCAATGTTGGAGCTTGACCTGAGGGTGTATAGGGCATATCAAGATTTGGTGAGCTTCTTGTTAAAATTTGAGATGTGAGCATTCCATTTTAGGTTTTCTTGAATTGTTCGACCGAGGAAGGTAGTTTCATGAGTTATCGTTACAGGGTTATTGTTTATGAGCAAATGCTGTGAAGAGTTTTTCTTTAGATCGGGGATTCATGAAATTTAGACAGACCGTCTTGCTGGGCTTTATGATGACGTTTGTTGCCTTGAAGCCATTTTACTAGTGCTTGCAAAGTTTTGTGAGTTTCTTTTTTTACTGTTTGTTATGTTTTTGCTTTGATGATTAGGTTTGTGTCATCTGCAAACAAAATTATTCTCCATCTCTCGCTGCTCAGCTTGCGTGTGACTTCCTGAATTTGGAGGGGAAATAAGAGTGGAGTCGGGAAATTGCCCGAGCTCGTAGGAGTTCTGGGCTTCCTTGGTGATCTAGTAGCTCGTGAGGGCGCGGTTTGACTTGCCTGGCCCTAGCGCGTTTTGAAAACAGACCGTACCGAAATTTCCTCGGGGAAGAGGAAAGGGCTTCATATCAGCCCCCAGGATTATCCCTTGGCAATAATAATTTGCTTAGTTGTTTTAAGGAATTTTCTCACTATTCCCCTGGATACTGTTTTTTGATTTCGAGGAAACCTTTGTGAGGGGGTTATTACCACACCTGAATGGAAGAAAACCTACATGCTAATTCATGCAATCATTTATTGGATTTTTAAACAGACTATCGTTAGCTAGAGCAGCCCATAATGAAACTCGCAGTTTGTTTGAGCTCCGAGCTTAGAAATAATCAATGAACCGACATTTTGTAAAACTTCTTTAAAAATGCATAATCTTTTCCTCACTCACTATTTTTTGACAACAAATCTCACTATTTGCCTACTTTTAACTTTATTGGTCACAGAAAGGCCTCTACTTACATTATGCAACTGAACGTTGGTGTAAACAGTGGGCCATGAATTATGTTCTATATCACTTGTGGACTAATAATTCTTATTACAAAATTTATCTTGGTTTCATAGTTTGACTTGAGATATCCTAAGTGGTTAACAATAACTAACCACTTGAAAAATATACCTCACTGGTTACTTGATCTCTCATGAAGTAATAACTTTTTAATGAAGATAAAGCATTTCTGTATTGTTTTGCCTAATAAATCACTAGAACTATGTTTTAGTGTGAAATAAATTGTGTATTAGAAGTTTTTACCATACTTGTTAAGAATTTTCTCTGTATTTGATGGCAATTTGATTGTTATGTAATTTGAATTTCAGATTCGCCGAGCTGATCCTCAAATAGTATGTGCGCTGGCTTGGAGGCCTAAGTTTTTCAGTATAGCTACATATTCAGGAAACGTGTCTGAAGGGAGGCCTCGTTTCAAACGCTTTCACACTCACCTGGCTGCAAGAGTTGCTGATGCAGTTCATGAGTGGATTTATCACAATATTTTGTTTTATGTTTTGGGCCTATCTGCTGTCCTCGTTCACAAGGATTGCATCACCTTGTAAGTATAATTTTTAGGTATAATATTGGGCTTAAAATTCATTTTTATATATGTTTTGGGCCTGTGTAATATCAAGAATTCTGGAATTATTTAGTGCAGTGATCTTGCTGGACAGATCAGTACTGATTGTATAATTATTTAGGAGTTGTACAACCTGTATCTATTGCTCTTTTAAATTCCAGAGTAAAACTAAGAGACAGCATTCTGTGCTAAAATGAAAAGTACAGCTTATTTGTGCCATATTTTTCTGCATTGTTTCCAATGTGGCCTTCTGTCAGCTAATCATGTAGAAGTAACCAGGAAATTTGAAGTGAAAGTAATGTGGGATTTTCAAAATTCTTTGCACTTAATTTTGGGTTATCATTTTTTTCATGTTTTAATAATTTTTAATAACTTGAATATAAAATGTTTATTTAACTTCATCCTACGTCATGTTTTACATGAGTCATTGTATATTTTTTATTACAAATCTCTCAAAAATTTATTGAAATGGATTTCATTCACGGAAACTCTTTAATTATGTTATAAACAGTTTGTATTGATTGTATAATTTTTAATAATAGTTTTATAATTTCAGTATACAACCAAATTAAAAATCATTTATTAGTAACAAAACAAATTTTGTTAGGAGAAAATCCTATTATGTAAGTGAAATAATAAAAATAAATAACTAAATTCATGATAAATGAAATAAATATTTATTACTATTTCCTTCGATTTCATGATATGAATGAATGAATATGATGTACAATTTGAAATGAGATGAATGAAGTAGTACAATTACAACAATTTAATTAAAAAATTCACCACTAAATTTATGGAACTTCATCCTACTTCATTTCAATTGATGGCAATACATTACTTCTAATACTAATAGTAATAAATTGCTCTAATTTAAATATTGTGACAATGTGAGTATCAGTTTAAAAAATATAATTTCACAAACACGTCAAAAATTAGATATTAATGATCAAAAAATAGCAAAAACTTCTTGCTTGCACTATATTTGGTCACATTGTTAATACTACATTTTTTCAAACAGTACCAGTGGTTTTTCTGGGCTGAGAAGTAAGTTGAAGAGCTAGTTGGGAAATATAAATGTACACATGCTTATCTTAATAATTCACGTAGCTTATTTCTTGTACACAAATTGATCCTTCAGTTCTTTAAGGCTGTAGACTTTTCTGCGATGTCTTTGCTCATGTGTTTCCTCATAAACTGTAGTAGACGTTTCTTCTGAATTAAAATATTCTGCATTTTGCACTTGAGACACCTGTGTATCCTATGTATCCTGTATCATCTACCTGAATATAAATAATCAGTCTTTGCAAATTCTCTTTGTACAAAATCATTTATTTAGTCTGAAATGCACTCATTGAATTCATTTTGTAAGCTTTGCCATGTTTATTTAACTATGAAGTTATATTCAAGAGAGTGGCAAATTCTTTTCTGTTCCAAACATTGCTTTTATAGCAAAAAATTAAGTGTGAGTAACAAAATGATTTCTGTAGATTTGAAGAGGAACATAACCAAGGAAATTTCTTTAACCATTGAAATGTTAAGGTTGTATTTTTTTCTTGAACGTTTGTACCAGATGTTTAGAGAGATTCAGTATGGCGCCTATGGCTTAAAAATTCCGTATGTTGGTCTTTCTAACTTGAAAATGGTTATAAATAGTAAAATACTCACTACATCATGTTTAGGGTTCGTATTTGAAACACCACAGTATTATTAATGAAGTGAGATCATGATGACCAGAGAGGCAATCATGTCGCTATTGCCCATACTCTTTTTAATGCGGACCAGTAGCCATTTCATTCATGCCAAGAACAGATTTTCTCTTTTAAGCAAATGAAGTTTAAGTGGTGTTCTCACGACACTGTTTTCATGGCTTTGTTGGAAACATTTGCTCCTGGATCTTTCTTGTTCTTAAAGGAGCAAGCTGTTTCTCTGGATTACCCCGCATTGAAATTTTTCCCACCATCTTGTTTGTCTAGTTGTATGGAGGTGTCACCAGACAAATGTGAAATATGTGTGAACAAGGGTGAAAACGTGTATGAATTGTGCCACATTAAAGTTTGTCTCTGGAGCCAATTTCAGGAGTTTTTGTTCACTTGTAGCCATCTTTGTCAATCAGAACCTCTCAACTTTGGGGATTGCTCCTAAGTGACTTCGTCTATTAGAGGTGGGTAGACAGTAGTGCTTCAGGTTTCAACAACTTATGTGTTTCCCCTTGAAAAAGATCGCAGCATGACAGCTGAAATTTTGGCATCAGTACCTAGGTCCAGGTCTCCCTAACAGCCAATTATACTTCCTCTGTCTGCAAAATTCTACTCATTCATTCAACCAGCTTGTTCTCTGGGACTGAGATTGGAGTTTCGTGTTGTTTTCCTCAAGTTCCATCATCTCTTCGGCCCAATAGAATGAAGCAAGCCTGACTGGCAAGATGTTTGTCTTTCAGGGCATTTAGGCTCATTGCAGGGTATGTTTCCCAGCTCCTCCGTGCACTGATCAGGAAAGCTTTGAGATTAGTTCACCCTTACAGGTATTTCAAGTTTGAATGGGTCCCTGAACTGGTAGGTTGGGAAAATGGAGTTTTCTGAAAGAACCTACAAGTGAAATAGTTTAAGATTATCAAGTTTTGCTTCATTTTGTTACTAAAGATAATTGTTTTGGTGCTTTCTTATGTTATGTTTTGTCCTCAGGGAGTATGTGAACTTGTGGAGTAAACGAGGAGTTCGTGTTATTCCCTGGTCAATAAATTTGCCTGCTGAGAAACAGTTCTTTTCAAAAATATTGAAAGTTACTTATCTGACTGATACTCTAGATGTTCGAGCTGTTTAAAAGTGTTCTCTGCCTATAAAACAAAAAGGAATCTTTATTTTTATGGTGTGAGTGTATCCTTTTCTGAGCAACAATTCCATTGTTGTATCAGGTTTTTAAGTTATGTTTTATACAGTTTATTCTAGTATCAAATTTCATTTTATATGTAGCCTATTTTATGTAGCATTATTTATTTGAATATACTTAAAAGGTGCCATGGTACAATTTTTACCAAAGAAAGGTAGTTATGTTCAGGACAATTCAATACAGGTTTTTTGGCTCCAACTCATTTCCAGTGAGTGTAATCCTGGCTTTAATATCCCATTGAATTTTTTGTTGTGGCTTCAAGTAAGCTGCTTACTCGAAAACTAATTTTTCCTAATGAAATTTCATTACAAGGGTTTTGGTAGTTAAGGACAATTAGGTGTTAAGTTCATCTAAAATAAAACCATTTTTGGACTGTTTTACTTCCATAAAATTGTAAGTTTTTAATCATCATATTTTACAATTTTTCAGTCTTTCAAACGAATACTTCACATAGGCTATATTCATTTCCCTAGTTTAGAGCTTATTTGCATGTATTTGGAAAAGACTATGTCTTACTAGATAAAAGATCTGTCGCATAATAAGTTGTAAGTATTGATAATGTTGTGTAAACAAAGAGATTATTTTGCTTTTAGATGAGAATAGGTGAAAGATACAAAAGCAAATATTGAGACAATGAGCTGAGAACTTCCCCACCCCCTTGTTTGCCAATAATATAATTTGAGTTCAAAGAATAGATTTCATTCTTATTCATATTATGAACAGAACGAGGTTTAAGTAAAGTACACTGCCATAGTTCATTCCCAAATTTTTCACTGCATAAGACTAGTAGATTTTTGAATTGTAAAGGTGTTAACAAGATGTTTTCAAATAATTCTCCTGTTGATTAATGATTTCTAAAACTTTATTGAATAATAAATGCCTCTTTAATAAAATTTCGAGATAAATTGATTGTAATGTGTGAGTTATATTTTATTTTCTTCTGATGCAATTTATTTTGAGATATGGTTTATTTGTTGTTTTTGTTTAGTTAGTGAAATTAATTTCTGAATATGTATTTTTGGAAATTTAATAATGTTCATGATCACACTCTTCATTCTTGCATTGCAATTAGGACTACTTTCTATTATACTTCCTGAATTTGATAGGACTAGTTTTTATTCAGGAATATCTTGAATCAATCCCAGATCTTTTTCACTTTTTGCAGAAATAGACTTTTTTTAGTTTTTGAGTTAATGATGTAACCCTCAAGTGCTGATGCCTTTTGGAGTTACGTGAGGGTAAAAATTTGGCTGCATTCTATTTATTGTTGATTACACATTATACTGCATTTTTTATAAATGTTTGTGGAGAATTTTGTAACCCTGTTAATGTTAAACCTTTTTTAAACAAATTTGTATGACTAAAATAAAAAAAAAAATTAAGCAACATGAAACTTTCTAACATCATTTTAAATAAGTCATTTTATTAAATCATCATCAAAGAAACTTTTTTTATCACAGTACATTATCAATAATTTTTGAAATTTTTACCTTGTAAATTATTAATTTGGAAATGTAGCATCTTGATTGATAACAGTAATTAAACATATAAGTACATATTATATTATGTGTGTTAACACAAGAACTATGTACATGTGTGATCCTAGAGCAGCTAAATAGCTACAATGCAATTCTGCACGTCAAGTGCTATTTGCTACTGAACCCAAAGCAACTGTTCAAGGTAATTAACTTGAATTTCCCATATCTAATGGCAAAATCTATAACTAGAAATAGATGGCAGCTTGATTTGGTAGTTGATTACTACTCAGGAAACAAAAAGATGTTTTTTAAATGAACAACCAATTTGCCACTTGCATGAGCACTTCAAGGTCAGCATTGCCTAATAATTTCTCTCTTTTTCCCATTCTGTGTTTTATATTGTCAGCTGTTTTACAATTGAATGCAACCAAATACCAACTTCCATAGTAAATGCACATTTGTAGAGAATATTAAAGTCAACATTAAAATAAAATGTAATTAGATGAATATTGTTGATCAGGAGAAATTCAGAGCAAATTTTAAATAATTGACCAAAGCATGCTAGTTTTCATAAGTGAATGATAGGTATGCAAGAAATCTGTTAGAAATGTACGATAGAGAATATGTCTTAGAGTTTCTACTGTGAGCATTTAAGTTAGGTAGTTAGTTTAATACTGAAAGAAAAATGGAACTATGGTGGTAAGTTTTTATTTATTCAGGGATTTTGATAACAAGTTATAATTCTGTTTTTGTACAATTTTGAACATAATTTTCTTCTTGATGAGCCGTCGTATTGTGTGTGTTTGCACTTTGACTTATGTAACAAGTAAGAGACACTGTGGTATGTTATAGTGTAATATGTTCTTATAGATTTTAAAGCAGTCTTGTGGGAATGTTTATAAGTATGTGGAAGTTTATTATTTTCATTTTATTACAAGTTACTGTTTCAAATTAAAAGGAAGAATTATAATTTTTCTAAAATTGTGGTAAAGTTGTTGAATTGGCAGTGAATTTACATTCTCAATTAATTATTGAGCACTGTACATCCTTGTATTAATAGCTTTTCTAAAGGACTGATTGATGTGTATGTTCCTGAGGTTAATTGCAAGAAAGAAGTACTTGCTCATGCTTAAATGCATTTAAGATATTTAGAACAATGGGTAAATAAACTTGGAGAGTTTTCTTACATTGCTTTTTGCCCACTAAAGATATTAGAGTTCCTGAAATACCAATGATTGAATATAAATATTCCAATCTACTATCTGCAAAAAAAAAGAAAAGAATACTTGGATGATGATGTGAAATAATGTTTGCTTGCTTTGTTAACTTGAGAGAGGGGATATTTTTTTGAGAGGCTTTATTTTTGCAGATAGTTTATTAATGAAGACTGTTGTATTGCTAAACCCAAGTTTTTGAGCTGAGTGCTTTGAAACTCTTCAAACCCTAATGTATAATTAATGTTATTATTGCAAATATTACCAGGTAATTTATTTCTAGCAGAATTAAATTAAGATTTTGAAAATAGAATGTAAGTTTGAAATGAATTTTGATTTATTAATGGATTGATTGATTAAGAAAATATTTTATTTAGAAAAGCTTATGTGTGCTATTACAGAATTGTTTGATACTATGCACAAAGTGTTGTTGTTAACTTATGTTTGAAGTAAATATTGTCATCGTAATATTTATAGGCATCATGATGCCCATGTGTTATGTTTTCTTTTTTTGTTTATTCCATTTATTCATTTAATATTATATTACACATCACTTGGTTCATCATATCCTTCAAATACATTATTGTATTTGTGTATGTTAATGACCACAAAGTACTCAGAATGAAGAGTCTATGGCACTACTGTTTACCTTAATTATTGTATAAATAGTGGTTCTTCATTATCTATTAAATGAAGTTCTGTTACGTAAGTAGTGTGGGCCTATTTGTCAAACGTTTGCTAGCTAGTCTCTCTACACTATTTTTCATAGTTGCTATAGTATATATTTCATATAATTTTTGTGTTTTGTAATTTCATATTGGAAGAAATAAATATTACTCAAGGAATGTTCATTATCAGGTGTTTTACTTCTTTCTCCCCTGGTCTACTCTCTGGTGTATGCTTCACTCCCATGTATGTTCCCAAAAGATAAATTATTGTTCATGTTATCACAGACTTAACAAAAACAAATATTGAAAGGCAGTCCAACAGGATTGATTCTTCATTGAGATGGGTTGAGCCCTGACAAGGGTATACTGAGATGGTTCTCATGATGTCCTTTCTCCAACTTCCATTCTCTTGCTCTCCACAAGACACCTTCCTTTTATTACTGTTTTTTACTTTCTAAAATACACACTTACATGGTAATTTATGTGGTTTAAGAAAAAGTAATGTAATGCTATTGAAAATAAAGAAAAAAATAAGAAATACATGTTTTGGTGTCATATGATATGATGCAGGAAAAGTATTTGTTTTTCTTCTCTCTTCAAAACAGCTGGCTGACCTTACCTTATCTAATTTATCAATAAATGTCATAAAATAACAAAGGTGTTATTTTATGACCCATAATTGGCTACTGATATGAGATGAAAAGGACGTAATATTACTATATAGTTTTGTAATTAACCCATTAGTTGGTGGCAATGGTGTAAGATTAGCTTATCAGACTATTATACCCACTTGGGTATAACTCGGCTTGAAACCCGATCAAAACCGTGGATTTTTAGGGTGAAAAAATCCTTCGTACGCCTTCCTTCGGAGAGGAAGTAAAGCCAGCTGACCCATGTTTAAAGATTTAGTGCATGTAAAAGATCCTCAAGGCTAAATAAAGCCTCTGAGCTAAACTCTAATTGCCCGTTTCGTCGCCCATGAATTACCTCCTTTCTCCACTAGTTGGTGATGAGCAAAATTTGCTTGGTCAGACGGAAGAGCAAGCTCAGGGCCTCAGTCTTGCCATGTAAAATAAGGCAACAGTTCAATTCAATTAGTGTGAAGTGGGAATGTAAATGTGTGCGAGTGTAAATGGTAAGCGAATCATGGTTTGAATTCAGGCATGTTTTGTTGGTGAAATGAACAAGTTTAAACTTGTTCTGAGTATTTTTTTTTTCTTTAATGTCCACATGTTCAGATTTGTTAGAGCACTTGCGCAGAGCCAAGAAATAATAATTTTTTGTAGAAGATATTTTTTGGTTTGTTCCGTTAGAGGCGAGATGAATGAAGATTGACTGCCAAACGATTGAATCAGCAAAACACATATTTGGTAATAACATTGTAAGAGACTTAATAATCAATATTTTTATTCAATAAATTACATATTATTGTTGAAAAGAGACTTATATGCTTTAAAAATTCACATGGTTTGCTAAGCTGTAATGAGAGCATTTCAATTTACATTTTATTTTTGATCTTCTGCCGAAATGCTGGTAATGTTACACTTTTGTCAATTATTGTTATAATTATGGGGGGATGGGTTCAATAATCTATGGTGTATCATTTACTTCATTACATGCAATTCTTGTTTTCTAATAGTTACCAAAATTATATGTTTTTGAAAACAAATATTCATACAAATTGTTTGTTAATTTTATTACGAATGTACTTTCTGGAAATTTTCTAAAGGTCTTGCTCCCTGGTTTACTGTTCAAGAAACCTTCGATTTATTATTTGAAGATGCAGTTGTTGAAGCAGTTTTCATTGTTCCACTGGATTCTAGTATTTTATCTGATGACGATAATGATGGTATTCCTGACAGTCTCAGTAAGTGGCACTACTTAAAAAATAATGATTTCAATCCTACCAATGAAGACAAAATTTGGAAAATCAAACCATAGTTAGTCCGTAAGAAATCCAGATTTTCAAAATATTTCTCACCAGAAAATAATTTGTCATATGATGAAAGTATGGTGAGGTATTTTGGCAGGCATGATCTGAAAGAATACGAAGCCTGTCTAAAAAGTATCCGACCTTTGGCCCGAAAAAATATTGCGAATACCTGACAGATTTGGGATCCTAATCCCCTTCAAAGTACGCCCCTTGTGCTTCCACACACTTAGCCCTCCAATCCTTCCACTGCTGGAAACACCTCTGGAAGTTTTCTTTTGGAATGGTGTTCAGCTCCGTCATCGCGTTCCGCATTATTTCTTCTCTACTCTCAAAACGGGATCTTTTCAGTGGCGTCTTCAATTTTGGAAACAACCAGAAGTCGCAAGGAGCCAGGTCTGGAGAGTAGGGAGGTTGGCTGGAGATTGGGATGAATGTACAGGGGCGTTGTCATGATGCAAGTGCCAGTTCTTCGCCGTCCACATGTCTGGTCTTTTGCGCCGAACTGCTTCACGGAGTCGCCGGATAACATCTTGATAGTACTCCTTTGTCACTGTCCTTCCGGTGCTTATTCGTGATGCACAATTCCCCAGGTATCGAAGAAAACAGCATCACCTTGATTTTGTTTCGCACCTGCCGCGCTATCTTCGGTCTTGGAGAATCGGGATGCTTCCATTGAGACGACTGTCGTCTTGTTTCTGGATCGTACCCGTACATCCATGACTCATCTCCAGTTATTACGGTGTTCAGAAACCCAGGATCAGTGTTGGCGGTGTCCAGAAGGTCCTGTGCAACGACAAAACGGAGGTCTTTTTGTTCCGGAGACAACTTGGGTACGAATTTAGCAGCCACTCGTTTCATGTTCAAATCTTCACGCAAAATTGCATCTGCAGAATCTTTACTCACTCCAGCCTCTTCTGCAATCTCCCGCACTGTCAAACGGCGATCTGCTATCACCAAACTTCGCGCGCTCTCAACAACAGCTGCATTCCGAGCAGTTTGGGGCTTGCCGCCACGCTGCTCATTCTCGGCTGATGTGCGGCCATCTTTGAATCTGTTGAACTTATTAACTTAATTTGTGTTACACCCATCGCATCTTTTCCAAAAACCTGCTGAACCTTACGAATTGTTTGGCTTTGAGAATCGCCAAGCCTTTGACAGAATTTGATGCAGTATCTTTGCTCAATTCGTTCAATCATCTTGGGAGAAAACTAAATCCGATGAACACTACGAACTGCACCTTACTTAGCGACCACCAGCCAGCGACTGGCACAAGCAAATGCACTGAAAAATTCAAGCATGCGCATCAAGGTTCCTCCTTCCACCGTGCACAGTGGCGCCGCCTTAGAATCACTACTTTGCGCGGGAAAAATTACGGTTGGATTCTTTTTAGACAGGACTCATATTGAGGAAAGCCTTTGAGCGTTGGGTACAAGAAGTGGTCCTTGAGTACTTCTAGTGGATAGTAGACCTTGAAATACATGAATGAAAGTCTATAAAAGCTAATTCTGAGGCAGACAAAACATGGCAAATCAACAGCTCCACTAGTAGAAATGATAAACAGCAGTGCAACACCTAAAATGAAAAACCTGGCATTTCATTTCTATTTTAACAACTTGTTCACAAGTTTCAACTTGTTAATCCACTCAAGAAATAATGAGTATGGCGGTTCAGTAAGAGAAAACCAAATACCAAAGAACTGTCCACTCCTAAGTAAGACTGAAGTGTTGAAGGATGAAAGGGATAATTTTATTCTGCCATAGATACGTACAACTGAATATTTCTGTGTAAGTAGAATAATAATTTGGCAGTGCATGTAGCATCAAATATCTATAGAGTAAATCCAATTGCTAATGAGAAAAGATACGCCCAAAAAGAGAGAAAAAACACATTCAAGTACCTCATTGCTCAGTCTTGTCACCCATCTGCATTGTCCCAGAGAACTAGTGCTGGTGTATCTCAAAAAGTATTCTGGGCCACTAAAAGGAGTAGGTTAAATACCTACCCTAATAATCAGATAGACATACAATTTGACTGTCAGGATCATTAGATACAAAAAAATTCCAGATGGTGAGAGAAGTGTGTTCAAGTTCCAATTGCAGCACTTGAAGCTCGTGTATGAAAATGTGATGAACCTAATCAAGATAGGGTCATTGGCCTAGAAATTATACTACAATACTTGTTACAGATATATTAAGATATTACATAATAGATAATTATTTTTAGTAGCAAATAGTTGAACATTTGACTTACTTTAATTTAATTTAAAATATTTTAACATTTCAAGATTTATACCGTTTCATTTTTCAAAATATAACTTTTTTGATATAGTGATTTTACTGTTACTAAATAATAATAATCATAATAATATAATAAATAAAGTAGATATCATTATTTATAAAATAATAATAATAGTAATACTAACAGTACATGATAACAATTATGGTAACAGCTACATATGATTTAACAGTATTAGCATATTCCATGATTAAATGTTAAAATGGGGAGGAGGCAGGTATAGCCAGATTGTTTCCTATTTCTACACCTACTCCTATTGCAGCACCTGAAATCACATTGCACGTGTTAGTCATTGAGGAGGTTTAATAGCCGCTTGCGCCTTCTCGATGTAAATGCGCAGTGTTTGGTCTCTAACACACATGCAGCCCTACTAATAAAAGCTTGGTGTAACTTCTTTAAACCTCGCGTATTCCGGGAAGAGTTACTTCCAGGGTAAGTTCGGAATAAGAATGGATTAAATTTTTACCAATAATGGCCACTAAACCGTAGCTTAATAATGTTAAATACGGAATCAATGCGATTCCCTGACTTGACTATGTCTGACGTGACTAGACAATACAGCTAAAGCTGCGCTTATTAACGGAGGATTACTCCAGTGCGCTCAACGCTCCTTACGGAGCTTGGAGACGGGATCCGATAAAGACGGAACAAATTAAGAAAAAAATTGCTTGGCAACGTTGCTTCATATGCCACCGTCGTCGTTTTTACTTTATTCTTTGGAGCCTCTGTAAGGACTTAGAGGGAACTTAGGGTAATATTTGAACAGAAAATTTTTCATTTTTTCCTGAATTGTGTGATTGCATTGGTTAGTGGACTCAAATTAATGAACAAATTGTTTTCAAATTACGATTGTTTTGAATGCTGGTGTCAATTAAAAAGATTAATGACCAAATGCGCGTGTGCAAGTTAAGGATAGATAAATGATTGCAGAAAGAAAACAGTTTAAAAATGAAGC